TGTTTCCTCGGCAGGTACTCCCACATGTCGGTGCTGGTGGACCAGGTGTTCCCGCCGGCGCAGTGCGAGCCCAGCGACGAGTTCTCGCAGACCGTGTTCTGGCGAGAGCCCCTCCTGGAGATCGAGTTGCCTCCCATATCCCCACCGCTACTCAAACACCATTAATCGAATGATTACGTACTTTCTATGTAAACTTTTTCAACTATATCGCTTCTTGTATTCCTACTTTGAACATAAGATTGAAAAATATCAATGTGCCTAACTCGGCTTGGCTTATTCCACACTAAATGGAAAGCAAGCAGTTGAGACTTGGTTATTCCATTATTTAACTAGAGTTTCAATATGTAGAATTGTAGACTGCTGAAATGATTGTTTTATATTCATTTGGGCTGCTTTAGATTTAGGATGTTTAGTTTCATATGCCGTTAGTTACAATATATAGACTTAATGAAAATATGTAGTGAATACCAAAAAACAATTATGAAATGCTTATCTTGTAGTATCTCGTGTGTGTTACGTAAGTTTGATTGTTGTACTGTGATGTGTCTAGCGGAATATTATTTTGGAAATGTCTTTACTTTTTGCAGTAATGTATGACTTTACTAGGGTGAAATATTATTTACAATTTATTCTCTGCGAAGACTGTGTATAGAAGTTGGTAAATGGTTTGCAGATTTAGGTTACAAAGGAATCAAGTTAAGTTTTGGTTTCGTCGATTATGTAAGCTGTGATGTCGTCGACTGATAACGATGCTTTATTTTTATACTGTGATTACCTATTCGTACGTGCTAAGTTATATTTGTGTTGAAGCAATACACATTCGTATAATGCAGAGGCTTAGCTTCTGATAGATTTATTATATTCTTTGTAATCAACGCCACTTTTGATTTTGAAGCATTGATTTGTAATAGTTAATATTATGTCGAATTAGAATTTGGTATATTTTTTAAAATAATTTATTGTTGTTTCTGTGATTGTTTCAATAAATATTTTCAGAAATAACTAAATATTGTTTTGATTGTAATTAGTTGTTTGTGCCAATTATTTCTAGGTTTATATCAGCAGTACTTTATCGCCACGCCCACGTGGTAATCAGAATCACGTGCGTGAAGATCACAGGTACATGAACCCAGCACATGTGGAACACGTGGAGTCTGTAATCTTTGTCTGTTGTCGGTCAACATTAGGAATTAAGATACGGCGGCGGCCTGCAACCTTAATACCTCACGCCACTTTATATCAAAGTAGCGTATCTGTCAGTCTGTGATTATAGGTCAACAGATTACGTTAGTGCTTATGTATGTAATTAAATTACGGTTATCTCGACAGAACTTTTGTATTAGCGCCCAAAATACTAAAAAGAAAAATAATATAAGTAATGAATGCCTACTCAAGGAGGATGAATTGCATATTGTTACGTTTAAAAGTAATCAAAACGAGTAGGTACGCGTTCGGCACTCTGATTGAAACAAACACGTATAAAGCCCTCGGATTGGTTCTTGTGCTATTAAGAACACTACAGTTGCAAGGGGAAGGGTATTTTAAATATTAGTTGAATCGAAAGAACTCTGAAGTACATCCTAACAAGAACGACTCCGACACGGCGTTTTTTGCATTGGAAACCATACAAAAAGGTTAAATGCGGGGTCCGAGCGGTGCCTTTTTGATAAGAATTGCGATTAGGGAAAGAAAATAATCAGTTTCGCTACAAATGGGTAGGCAGTTATATCCCATCTCCCGTATAATAAAGTATTGCCACTATACAGGGTGGTCCAAAAGTTGGGGATCAAACGCAACTAAGGGTTAGATAGGGTCATCAACTGCAAAAAGTTGTTCTACGGGAGGTCCTTAAGGTCAACCCCTGCAGAGCTATAATTTATTTTGTATTTTATGAGAAAATTTACTTTTCGTAACTAATTCTTATTAAAATTCGAAAAAATCTACACCTGTATCTTTTTATGATTTTCACTAGATTGGTACTGATGAGTCCTTGCTTTAGACATTTATGGTTGTTTATTGAGTGCGTTGAAGATAATATTAAACTGTCAAACACCAAGCGGTCACCGGTGACCGCGACCTATTGTTCTATAATTGTGTCTACAAAACCGGTACTCGACGAGTTAAGTTTTACGATTTTTATTTTCCTGAAAAATACTCTACCGTAAAGTGACCCTGTATTACAAGTTTTGGGGCATTTAATAGGGCTTCTGAAAAGGTATTACACATGGCCATGAGTGGCTCGAATATCTTTCTAATACCACTTGGAAAAAGAATTCACATCACCAGTTAATATTGAAGTATAATAAATTTATATCATTCAAGAACCCGGCTTCTGCCATAGAAAACGTCAAAGAAACTAGAAACCTTGTGTACAACAAAATATATTTCTTAAAAATATTTCTAAGACTATGTTTCATCTGCTTCCATGGCATCTTCTTCTGCATTGTCATCATCATTGTCACCTTCATCATCACTAGGTATGTCCAGGTCCTTATGGAAACCCTTCCCTTTAGTCCAGTGGCACTTTATAACCACTTTAAAGTCTGCCATTTGTATTCCTAACAGCTTCAATATACTTGCTTGTTCTGGTGTTAGAGGTACTCCTTTTTTGCAAACCTGTAATTTAATCATTTAACATTATTCATCCATACATGTTACAGAGATGTAACTAGAGAGTAGTGTGTAGTGATAATCTTATACTATTATATAAAGCGGAAGAGTTTGTTTTTTGTTTGTTTGAACGCGCTAACCTCCGTAACTACAAGTCTGATTTGAATAGGTAATTATTTTAGTGTTGTGGCTATAGGCTATGAAACATCACGCTACGACCAATAGGAGCTGAGCAGAGCGTGTGACACCGCATGGAAGTAGCTAGTTTATGATATTTGATAAACATTCGGTCGGTTAAGCCGACTAACGAAATGTACTTAAAAATCATATCATATCATAGATCACATACCTGATATTCCTTAATAACATTTATGACACCTCTTTCTAAAGACGTGGGGAGTCCAAGTTTTCTTAGATGAGGCTCCATTGTGTGTGAGAAGTCGGGCAGCGGCCCTACTGGCAGTATTACATCTTTAGTGGCTACAAATCCTGCTCGGGCATACTCTGCATCACTGAAGCTTTTGAACCATTGTAATACTTCAGGCACATCTTTGTTTGTCATTAGAAGCCCACACTGACCTTTTAATCGTTTTGATAACTGTAATGCAATGTTCCAATATATTGTTTGTTATTCTCATACAAAATATAGTGCAACAAAATTTTTTACTTATAAATATTTTTTATAACATTTCTATAAAGAAATTGAGATTAGAATACACTTACGAGGTTCAACTGGTCTTCTACTTCATCACTCTTCGATCTTCCCAGTGCTACAGCCATTACTTTGTTTTTACCAAAAAAGAATCTTGAGTCTTTCCATTCATTGCGCAAGTCTTTTAATTTAGTGTTGCGCATGTTATCAACAGTGAACAAAAATATGTGCTCATATTTAGAGAGTGAATTCCTAATTTCTTCTACAATCTTCTGTTTATGCACTAAACCTTTTTTGTTCGTTTTTGTCAAAGACACTAAAATAGAAAAAAGAATGTAATCACATTTATATTACTAATAAATATCGGTCTCACTAAGAAAATATTTATAGACTGTGACTGCCAATAAAAAACTGTTGAAGGTAAATCCTCCGATAACGTCGGTCACCGGTGACCCCCATGGCGTGCTTGCACTCCATAACAAAGCTCAAAATATTGAAATAAGCAAGCATGGTTGGAACATTTCATTTTAAATTATTTATTTTAATACCTTTTTTATCCCTTTTTGATTTCGGCATTGTATTACTTAATTATATACTGCACTGTTACGTTCAATAATTATAAACAGGTGTAAATCTTCTTTTGTACACAGAAAATAAAATTAAAGTTTGAGGTATAATTATAATACCACTAAACCTAACCTCTAAAAAAACAACAACGTGAACGTGACATTTGACAACTACAATACTAAATGACAGTTAGTACAACTGACGGTTTAAGTCAACGTTGAGTCGAACACTTTGGCATTAACCGGTAAATAGTTAATATTAATTGTTTACTGTAATAACATAAATAAACTTGATTTCTTTTAGCAACGAAATACAAACTAGTTAAAATTAAAAAAAAAATAGAAAACAAAATAATCAACACATAGACTATAGACTGTTCAAACCAATTAGTCGATTATTATTGAATCGAGTAAAGAAAAAGTAATCATCTAAGTATAATAAATAAATGAAATATTGATATTGAATAGAGATCACCCAATAAGTAGGAATCCTTATAAATTAATCCACATGTGGGTAAATAAATGTAAAATCGTCATGCATCATAATACCAATCTTTGCAATACCACTCGAAACTTAAAAAAAAATCTTATTAACTTTAAATTCCAGGTAATATCTTATATAATGATAATACTATGTTACAAAATAGATTGATTTAAGTAAATGCCCATTAGCGTCATCGTAATAGTAAGTCCTAGACGCAGGGCCCTCATGATTACATTTAAAAAAACCGCCAATATACTGACTTCCTGTTACTATCGAACGTGACCTACTATGTTGTATTCCTACGTTCAAAATTGTACTTATCTCTGTCATTTCGCATACCTTAGAAAGAGCGCGCGATACATCCAAATGCTCTACGTCAATGTGAATACCAAGCATCGTGCTCCACTTCCTTCGAAGAAATTCAAGATGGCCGACTCGTAATGTGAACCCTGTTCCGTTTTTGTTTCCCCTCTGGCCCCGCTGCCGTCAGTGTAGTATATCGTTCACCGCAAGACAAAAACCGATATTGTGTTGTAATTCACTGGTTTTATTACTTTTTTTCCCTTCCAACAAGTAAGTGTATTAAAATTATATTAAGTGAATGCAATTTTACGTGTTTTTCACGAAGTGTATTTGTTAAAAAGTCGTTTTCTCACAAATCTGTGACTGTGACGCATAGAAGGAGTGCCCCCTTACTTGCAGCAGCCATTTTGCTCGAGCCGGCGACACGATTTCGCGGTGCGGTTAGATTAATTCTAAATTTTTGTAATCGGGATTTATGTTTTTCCCAAAGCATTTATTTTTATTCGTTGCGTTGTAGTATAGTACATTTGGTGGATTAAGACGTTTCTCGTAAGAAGGTTCACCGCGTAAGTTGGTTTTTACTTTTTACATTTCTTCATACGTGACGAAATATATTTTTGGATTAATGTTCAGAATCTGGGAGATTGATTGTGATATGATGCTGTGATATGTATTTCATGCTATACAATAATTGATTTAGTTGCGTTCGAAGTGCGTGGGCATGCCGAACGTTGGCGTATTCGTAGATTGAACCAGCGATCACCTAGTGCGTCGTAATTTCGCCGTGCGTAGTCATGCCGTTATCTTGGTCAATTCAATAACTATATAATGTCATTGAAGGTAGCTCCAATACGCATTTAAAGGTAATTACAGCCTACTAATGGTAACCGGCGATGAAATTCTTTTCACCACGTCTTCTGAGTGATAATAATTAGAAATTACGTTGTGTAACTTGTTTGAGGTTGTAATTAGGTGGGTAAGTGAGCATTTGTTCTAACGTCGGTTATAATGTCATTACCTTCGATTTACTTACATCGCTTTTTAGATAGGCACGTGCTTGACATTGAGTCGACAGCACAATGCTCTCGTATGAGTGATACTAGATATATTGTAAGCTATTATTACAAGGCTTATGTTAATCACTAAGTTAATAGTTTTCCTCGTTCTCAGTAGATGATACTTATAAATATCTGTTTTCAGGACTTTAGTTTTCTTCTTAGGTACATAGTAAGTGTAGCTTTTGTTCAAATCTTATTGTTCTCAATGGTGCTGTAGGTTTCTCTTTGTCATATCATGATAAAGAATAATGTTGATGAATATATGTTAGTGATCATTCTAGTCTGTAAGTAGGTACTCAAATAGAACTTAACCGTAAGTTAAGTTTTTGGCTACAATTTGAAATAACTTGGCATCTTAATGACAGTAATTGAGGTTTATTTGGAATTAATGCGTAGATGTTCATTCTTCTGTTAATTCACAATGCCAATTCTAAATTTGTACTACGTTACTGCTATTTCAAATGTATCTACGATAAGATGTCACTTGTAACTGCCATATTTGTCATGACACATTGCCCTTCAAAGATTGACATCATGCTCAGTAGTGTGTGATACATTACCTATCTTTCATGAACTAAATGTAAATTTAAAACTAACCTATTTTTCTTTTTTAAGTTACTTGGTAATAAAATATTTATGCAACTTATTCAGTTATTTATCAATTAGTTGTATAATTTTGACTTAAAGGGAATTAATACAGTGCAGATGTTTTCTATATTCAGTCTTATTCTTATAAAAATAACTTTACACAAGAATTTATTAAGTATTTCATCAACCATTGGCAAGTATAGTATATGAAAATTGCGCCTAGAGTACCTAACTCTAGGCACAATTTTCATATATGGGAGAGGGTATGGGAGGCATTTCAGGGGTCATGACCCCACCCCCGCTTTATCTTAATACAACTTATTAGTTGTACACTGCTTTATCACAAATAAAGAATGATAGGTACATGAAATGATTACTGTATTTTAGATTTGGTTAGTAGCTTGGGAACTCAGAAATTTAAATTAAAAGAAAGGAACTTGATGTATATTGTAAAAAACAGTAAAAATATTTTTAATATAATAGGCACCTAGTCACTTGTTTCAGATTTGTTTTTAATAAATCATATTTGATCATAAATATTTATGAAATCGAAACTATTTTTTTTATATTTGCATTCATAAGTTTGTTAAAAATAACACGAATCGTACGAAAAATTAGCATAACACATTTCAGCATAGTAACTGAGGATTCTCGTAAAACGCTATAGGTAGATAGATAAGGGTAGCGTGATGTAGGCGCCGGGCGGACGGGCGCGGTGCACGAGGGGCGTATGCGAGGGTGAGGGGTGTGTGCAATCGTCGCGCTAGTCGTATTTCGTCTGGAGTGTTTATCCCGCGTCGCCGGATCAATACCGTTGGCGCAGTGGCGGTGACCAAGCGGCGGCGCGGCGACACGGCGCGTGCCTAGCCAGTGGTAGCTCGAGTCTGTGAGATGCTGTCAAACCGAGCGGACGCCGCGTCGATGTCGCGTTTGGCGTGAGAGGTGCTCTTTGAGCTTCGTTGAATTTTCATATAGCGCTAGAGCGCCCGCGAGCCTCTACCTAAGGTGCGACTTCCATTCATTCATGATGACAAATACCCTATAAGCGATTCGCTTCGGTGAAAGTGACGCCCAAACGATTAGTCTTTCTGATTTTTAACTGACGGTGAATCGTCCATTGCTTGTCGATTCAATTAGTTTATTCGTGATTCATCCTTAATTGCAGGGGCATCAGTGAAATAATCCTCTCCCATCGTCCACGATGTCCGTCGACAAGGAGGAACTGGTGCAACGCGCCAAGCTGGCGGAGCAGGCTGAACGATATGACGACATGGCGGCCGCGATGAAGGAAGTCACGGAAACCGGCGTCGAGCTGAGCAATGAGGAAAGGAACCTGCTTTCCGTTGCTTACAAAAACGTGGTGGGAGCTCGACGGTCGTCATGGCGTGTCATTTCCTCCATTGAACAGAAAACCGAAGGCTCGGAAAGAAAACAACAGATGGCAAAAGAATATAGGGTTAAAGTAGAAAAGGAGCTCAGAGAAATCTGCTACGATGTTTTGGTAAGTTTTAAATTTTTACATTGAATTTTTCAGGATTATTCGACTTGGACAGTCTGTTTAATGATAACAGGTATCAAGGTTCTTCATAATCGTGTCTGACTATTAGATGGTAGAATTTATTCCAAACTTAGTAAGATTAACGTCAGTTGCCGCCATCCTACGCGAGTGACGTCATCATATTTGTGCCTCGCCAATTTGAGGAGTGATGCAAGCGAACAGTAGCCGTGGTCATTTCCTCCGCAGTCATAACGTTTTTGTTAATCATGGGCGTTATAATGTTGGGTAGCACGTGAGAGCATGCAGGGCGCGGTGCGGAGTTTTCGCGGGCGGGGAGGGTGGGGTGACGTATTGCGCCGCGTCATTGCGCGCGCTGCTATCCCGTTTTCGTTCGTTGCCCTGTCTTCAGATCCTACGTATTCTGGAATACAAATAATTAATTTGTGTTGTTTATTTAAAACTAGTTTTTTTTTTATTTAGCCTTATTCAAATAGGTTACATGTAATGGAGATTTAACAATTTTTCTTTTTGTTTCAGGGTTTACTTGACAAGCACCTTATTCCTAAAGCTAGTAATCCAGAAAGTAAAGTATTTTACCTTAAAATGAAGGGTGACTACTATAGGTACCTTGCAGAAGTGGCCACAGGAGAAACCAGAAATTGTAAGTACTATTCCTAATAGGTATTTAATATTTAACTATGAATTGGTCTTCAATCTAGTTAATGGGTTTGATCTACTAGTTTTATTATGCAATGGTTCAGTAAGTTAACATCAATTTACATTACAGCTGTTGTAGAGGATTCACAGAAAGCATACCAAGACGCTTTCGAGATCAGCAAGGCGAAAATGCAGCCCACACACCCAATAAGGCTGGGTCTGGCGTTAAATTTCTCCGTCTTCTATTATGAGATATTAAATTCACCAGACAAAGCGTGTCAGCTCGCCAAACAGGTCATTATTAGTGTCAGTTACGCATAGGCTCTGTGCTGGCTGGCACGAGAGGGAAGTACAGGCTAGGCATATTAATTTACTCGCTTGTCCCCAGCCGTCGTGGAGGACTCGCAGAAGGCCTACCAAGAAGCATTCGACATTGCTAAAGCCAAAATGCAACCGACCCACCCCATCAGACTCGGCCTTGCGCTCAACTTTTCCGTGTTCTATTACGAGATAATCAACTCCCCTGCGCGAGCGTGCCACTTAGCTAAACAGGTTTTTTAATAAAAAGAGAAAATTAGTGTGATGACACATTATTATATTGTTCATAATTTTACTAACTGTCAAGATTCTTGCAAGTAGTGCATTCTCCTTGATCAGTTTGCATGAACATAAAAGTACTTCAAAATTAAAGAAATAATCATATAGATACAATACAACACTAATAATAATGTATTAGCATGGCCGTGTGTAAAGCAATTAACCCTTAATCCTCGATCCAGCCAGCATCAGAGTGTATTTTTATTTAAGTTTTTCCCAACATTGAAATTTACATATATTTTCTTTATTTTGATGTATAGATATATTTCTTTAATTTACTGATTGTAATTAATATTGGTTACTGATTTTTCAGGCGTTCGATGATGCGATCGCCGAATTAGACACACTGAATGAAGACTCGTACAAAGACTCGACACTGATCATGCAGTTGCTGCGAGACAATCTGACGCTGTGGACGTCAGACACGCAGGGCGATGGCGACGAGCCCGCCGAGGGCGGCGACAACTAATCTCGCGCCGCGCTCACTCCCAGCACACGCATTTGTTCTCATTGGTGTTTTATAAGAAAACGAGTAACATTCGAGAACGCCGCGCGGCGCGGGTCCTCCGCCGCTGATGCGAGCCGTCGCTTGTAAAAAAATGTTAAAAATGTCGTTCGCAGCGGACCTTCACGTTCCGTCTAAAATTAAATGTTATGTGTCATCTTTGACGGTTTTGTATTTCTGTATTTACACTGGATTACAGATATCGAGCTGACCCGATGAATATAAATATTTATAACTTAAGTTATTAAAATTACGGTTTCTTAAGTTAAAAGTGTTTTCCTTTCTATATTTAGAATAAAACTTAACAGCCTGGTCGGCCCCAAATTAACATTCCTTTCGCCGCATGTCCGCAGTGAAAAGGAGATCATGATGGTGAATATTGTTTTAAAATTATGCTATTCGTTATTAAAATTTGTTGAAGTGCGCCCATAACTGACCCTATGAAAATAGATTTTACAAAAAGTGAAATTAAACCACCTGTATAATAATGGCTGTATCAATTTAATTAGGGCACAAAAAACTTGTTAGTGTCTTTCGTGGTTTTTTGTGATGTCCTCTAATATTTTAATATTACCAAAGGAAGTCTTTAATTGTTGACATTAACCATTTTGTTGTGCCCCATCAGTGATTATAATAGCATTCTGAATTTTCAGGCATTTATTAGCAAGATAGTTTTTGTGATGGCCAATATTGTAACATTTCTCTGCTGCATTTTATCAGCCATTAATCTATTATATTTTTCATGTTTTCACCAATAAACTTTTGTATTAAATACAATTTTTAGTTTTAGACCAATATTTAAATAAACCGCCACCTAATACCCCAAACGATGTTTGTCTAAAATTATTCAACAGGCCCTTTTAGTAATAAAAAGGGTAAACATGATTATAATGAAGGTCGAAAGTAGCAAATGCTGTCTCAGCGGCAAATTGGAGCTACAAAGCCTTGGCCCGTTTAGCGATACACACAAGGGCGAGGCCAAGAAATTACCAATATTGGGTCGATATTTTATAGCCAACATATTGGCTATAAAGTGACTTAGTCTTTATCGGGTTAGTTTGAACAACCTGAAGAAAGATTTCTTCAGATTGTTGCATTTGGCCTGTATTCCAGATATCAAGACTAATGGGCTTAGTTTAGCAGTGGCTAGGTTCACACCAAGTGTAAAGTAATTAAGTCTTAAACTGTCAAATACCAAGCGGTCACCGGTGACCGCAACCTATTGTTCTATAATTGTGTCTGCAAAACCGGTACTCGACGAGTTAATACCTACCTTAAACCTTGCTTAAAGGTACGATGAAAGGAGATATAGGTTCTGCCCAAAAACTATAAAATGAGTAGGTACATAATAAGGGATTCCCCTTATTTTGTAAGATTCTTCAATTCTATTTATTCAGATACGTGTGGGCGTGCTCTCGTTAAAAAGAGCCAATATAAAAGGGTAGGTAAGTACAAAGAATTAGAAAATGATTTTTTTCTCTTCAATGCGTAGGTACTTATGGGTAATCTATCTATGTACATTATGTAGGTATGTCAGACACGTGCTGATTACCGACCAAAGAGTATGACAAGTATGTAGTACGAACCAATCTTATTCAAGTAATAGGTACGTAAGAACAAAGTAGGTACAGTACAGCGGTTCACAATATTCCCCTATGGGTGTGGTGTGCGTTACCCAGGCCAGATGTCGAAAATGGTCATTTGACTCTTATAGATAATTAGTAGTGCGGCTTCTGTAATTGTTGCGCACATTTTTAAATTTGTTGCGCTTATAGTTTTTTAATTATTTCACAAAAACATTTCCTGTTGGGGTAACGTTACCCCAGCCAGATTTTTTTCTTTCTAATGGGAATATTGAAATAATTACTAGCTATAAAATAAGTTGTCTAGATGAAGTAAATGTGCCTTGTTTTGTATTTGTTCTTTCATAGGTTGCGAAGTTATTCGAAATTTTGCTGGGGTAACGTTTTTGATTTTGCTAGATCTTTGAAATGGTTAAGCGGATTCTTATCATATTTGGTACATGGTTTCTTATTAAACTGTCCAACACCAAGCGGTCACCGGTGACCGCAACCTATTGTTCTATAATTGTGTCTACAAAACCGGTACTCGACGAGTTAATTTCAATACTCACAGGATACAACTGAAACTTCACATACATTTGAAGGCAGTTACAAGATTTTAAATTACGTTTAAAGTAAGTCTTTAGAGCTCTTATTGAGAGTGCTGGGACCAATTTAAGTGTTTTTCTATTTAATGTAATAACTTTTAAGCTATTTATTATTTTGGTGTTTTTATTTCACAACAAATTTGAACTAATTAATAAAAAACCATGTACCAAATATGATAAGAATCCGCTTAACCATTTCAAAGATTTAGCAAAATCAAAAACGTTACCCCAGCAAAATCTCGAATAACTTCGCAACCGATGAAAGAACAAATACAAAACAAGGCACAACATTTACTTCATCTAGACAACTTATTTTATAGATAGTAATTATTTATAG